AAAGGATTCACAATTCCCAAGAATGGGCAATTCCCTTGAAGGGATGGATCATTCAGGGAAGCTGTTTGTTTGGCCTGGATTTTCTCTGAGTTGATTGTTTTCCTCATTTTGGCCCAATTAAGACTTTGAGTATTTCTGACTACCTTCCCTGACCCAATCACTCTTTCTAGGGGCTTGTGGTCTGAATACAAGGCTATCCATTGAACTCACGGGGCCCCTAGTAAATGCCGTGTGCCCCCCAACTCCTTTCTAGAAAGGTAAATTTTCTTGTGAGGAAAAAGGAAGCCTTAAAAAAAGAAAATAAAGGAAGCCTGTGTACATTGCAGGCTAACCCTGTTAACTTGGGTCATGGCAGTTTGCGCTTTTTGTTGGTCTCAACTGTTGCTATTGAAAAAAACTCAGAGAAGTATTTAAATATTTTCCTACTTTGGTAAATAGATTTACTTTTCTTATGGCAAATGAGAATTATGATTGTGTTGCAGTGTAAATATGGAAAGGGTAGACAATAAATGAGTAGAGATAGGAGACACAAGATATGTTTTCAAGTATTTCTTCTATAAACTATTTATTCATTCTTTGATTCCTAAATGCATTTTTATGTATTGATATTCAACCGAGTACTCAGAAGCATTTTTAAGAATGCTGAGGAATATTAAGATCATGTCCCTGATCTTAGGCTGCTGACAAACTAGTTGGAAAGAAAAACATACACTTGGGAGAGTAGCTACCAGTACCTGGCAAAATACGACCAGTGCCGTATGAGCAAAGTGCAGAGAAACGAAGTTATAGGAGTTCAACAAGGGTGTGGTCCCTGTGGACAGCATGATCTGAGAAGTCTTCTTGGGAGAAATGGAATGGGAGTTGAAATCTGAAGTCTGGATTAGCAGAGAGGGAAGTGGGAGGGAATTTCCAGGGAGTAAAGAAGCAAAGGCAGTGAGAAGAAAAAGTACAGCTCATGTTTGGGTAGGGCCGAGGGCAATGACATGAGTATATGAATTTGTTTGGAGCAAAAACCTTCCCACTCTCACTGCTAATTCTGTTAGATAAGGTCAGTTCAGTTTAGCCACTCAGTCGTGTCCCACTCTTCACGACCCCATGGACTGCAGCATGCCAGGCTTCCCTGTTCATCACCAACTCCCAGAGTTTACTCAAACTCATGTCCATTGAATCAGTGATGCCAACAAACCATCTCTCCTCTCTCCTCATCCATCCTCTTCTCCTCCTGCCTTCAATCTTTCCCAGTATCAGGGTCTTTTCAAATGAGTCTGTTCTTCGCATCAGGTGGCCAAAGTATTGGAGTTTCAGCTTCAGCATCAGTCCTTCCAAGGAACACCCAGGACTGATCTCCTTCAGGATGGACTGGTTGGATCTCCTTGCAGGCCAAGGTACTCTCAAGAGCCTTCTCCAACACCACAGTTCAAAAGCATCAATTCTTCAGTGCTCAGCTTTCTTCATAGTCTTGGAGTTTCAGCTTCAGCATCAGTCCTTCCAAGGAACACTCAGGACTGATCTCCTTCAGGATGGACTGGTTGGATCTCCTTGCAGGCCAAGGTACTCTCAAGAGCCTTCTCCAACACCACAGTTCAAAAGCATTAATTCTTCAGTGCTCAGCTTTCTTCATAGTCCAACTCTCACATCCATACTCTATTAGCTAAAGAGTTCATTGATTTGAAGTAGGATAAAGCCCTACTTCCTTACCTACCCTCTGAGCCTCAGTTTCCTTATTTGTAAAATCGAGTTCCTTGTATCTAACAGCCATGGATGCTACAAGAATTAAATAAGATATGATATGAAAAGAAAAGTGCAAGGTGGGGCTTCTTGTACTTTTTCATCCTTGTTCAGTCAGTTCCTAGAGTTCAGCTTAATCTTAGTCCCATTATACTATAAAAAAACTTCTCACTCCTCCTTATAGATAATTTAAATTTTACTTTGCATCTCTCTAGACTAGTTTCCAGTCATCTCTGGTTTAGGAGAATTTTCTTGACATAAGCCAACTCAATGTGAAGGGAGACCAGTGTCACATTCAAGAATTTAAATAACTCACCACTAACTGCTGCAGGGTGGCTGGAGTCTAACAAGCTGAAAAGGAGTAGTTGGAGATAAGAAAGCATACTTTTCTTTTCTCAATTATATCAACATCTTCCTTGACATAAACTTCACAGTAAACAACAGACAAAATAAATGCCATTACTCTGAAGAACCAAATTGAAAACTGACTGTGATTGCATTTGATCTCTGGAGGAAGGTGACTCAGGTCTGGGAAGAAGGAGCATTGTACTGAATCTAATCCCCATGCCATGTTAGAGTGTTTATACCAGCTTGAGTGGTTGTGATGGGGTCGTCTGCATCATTTGGTTCTTGTCCTCTGACTCACTGTTTCTGCTGTGGGGTTAACTCCCTGCAGTGGAAAAGGGGGGAGTTACTTGCCAGACCATATGGAGCAGGGAATAGCAGATTGACTTACGTTTTGGTGGAAGCTGAAAGCATATAAACGTAAGTCTCCCAGAGGATAACCTTGGAAAATTCTTTTAAATAGCATCCTTGTAGAGGTGTCTAATTTTCAAAATCTATCTTGAAACCTTAAGTAAGTTTCCAAAGTTACTTTATGGAAAAAGGTTGAATGAGGACAAATGATAGAAGGTTTGCAATTTCACTGCCTTTGCTTACATTTTCAGTTTAGGGAAGCTGGAAAAAAAGAAGCCTCCCTTCGATTTGCTCTAATTCTGCCTGGGCTAGGAGGTATGACCATGTCCATGTGAGTATAGGAGATTCAGGGACTTCAACTCTGTTAAACTTGGGTTCCTGTGGGCATAACTAGACCAGCTAATATTAAAGAATTTGAATGAGCCAGTGAAACTGGAAAGCTGGAAATGCATGGAAACACAAGTTGGGTTAGACAAGACTCCTGACAACCCTGACATAACCCTGACAACCCATGGATTTGTTAATCGTGGCCTTAAATTCACAGTGTACCTTGATTATAAGATACTGTTATAGAGGAATCTAATTTTTCTCTCTAATTCATCATAAACTTAGTGAGCAACTACTATGTACCAGGCATGTATTAGACAGAAAAATGAAAAGAACAGAGTCTTGTGGGAATTTATAGTCTAGGGGAGATAACTATATATAAACAGTCATGGAATAATGACTGTGTTATGATAAAGGAATCTGTGTGAGCTATGGTAGCAAAGAGGTTGTTGTTTAATTGCTAAATTGTGTCTGACTCTTTTGTGACTCAATAAATTGTGGCCCACCAGGCTCCTCTGTCCATGGGATTTTCCAGGCAAGAATACTGGAATGACTTACCATTTCCTTCTCCAGGGGATCTTTTCAACCCAGAGATTGAACCCTCATCTCCTGCATTGGCAGGTGAATTCTTTACCACTGAACCACCAGGGAAGACCAAGAGGAGAAAGCATTTAAATTCACTGATGGTTAGAGGGGCAGGTCAGGCTCTGTAGGAGAGCTGACCCTATAGTGGGTCTTGTAGGCTGAGTAGGAGAAGGCAGTACTACAGGCAGAGGGAAAAAGACAAATGTTGCATAGCAGATATGTGCTAGGCTCATACAGGCAGAGAGAAAAGCATGGCCATGTGGGGATGGGCAGGCTGGGGGTAGGGAGAATATGCAAGTTAGATTATTGAATACACTAAGCCCTCACTTCTTTTAGTTTCTGTAGGATAAATAACCCAACACCCAGGGAGGCAGAAATATCATCAGAGAGACCTTGAAATTCATTGGCTGATAGGTCCCAAAAGATAGAGAAGAGAAATGAGAAAATATTAGACTGGCAGAGTCTTTACCATCTGAGCCACCAGGGAAACCCTTAGGTCAGAGCCTGAGCTAGCAAAAGTGGATGAGTCAGGGAATTCTGGCAGGAAACATGCCATATTTGGAAGAGTTGAACTGACTTATGAATGGACGATTTCAGGGCTAAGTTAAAGAAGCAACAAAGGATGGTGAGGCATCCTGCGACTGGAAATAGCAGGAAGCCATGACTGCTTTTTGCTCTGAAAGGGCAAGAGGAGGAGATGGTGTTACTGCAGCTCAGGGAGAGCTGGAGCCGCGAAGGACAAGCCGGTTCAGGAGTCAATGATGCAAAGAAACACAGAGCCGCAGGAGAGGCTGGGAGGGACCGGAGGGTGAGCACCCCAGCTCCACATCCTTTCACCCTCTGATAGAGCCAGATCAATAGCGGCCAGGGTACAGGAGCCCAGATGGCGAATTCCGTACAGATCAGCCCTTTGGCTGCTTCTCAGCCCTTAGTACTATCTACTTTATGTGCAAATGTGTATTTGTTCTTGTTCATTGTTTAGTACTCAGTCGGGTCTGACTCTTCGCTGCCCATGACTGTAGCCCTGCCAGTCCTCTCTGTCCAAGGGATTTCCCAGGCAAGAATGCTGGAGTGGGTAGCCATTTCCTTCTCCAAGGGATCTTCCTGACCCTGGGATCTAACCCACATCTCCATGGGCCCTAACCCAAGTCTCTAGCTTTGTGGGAAGATTCTTTACTGCTGGGCCACCAGGAAGGGTGCTAATGTATGTTAGGATACAATAAAGTTCTAAAGATGCTCCACTGGATTCTCTTACCCCGGACTCAAACCAAGCTATTCGCTCTCTGACACCCAGAACACAATCTCTGTTTGTGTTAGAATAGCCCTTTTTTCATTTTCTTCGGTCTAAGAAATCACACACAAGCCAGTATCCCCATTAGGGTGTCACATCTCATACAAAATGCTTGTGTTGTACCATCCAGAGACTTGGCCCTCCTTCAGAATCAAGCATCCATTTCCCTAGATACTGCAAATATTTGCTAATGATCATTCACAGCTAGTAGTTCCCTCCTTGAAAACTGTCTACCCAGGATTATGCCTTACTCTCTTATATGATTTTTATCTTTAGTGGGTTGAATGCTGCCCCTCCATCCCCAATGATACGTCCATATCAAAATTTCTGGAACCTGTGAATGTTATCTTACTTGGGAAAATTTTATTTGCAGATGTCACTTTGTTGAGGTGAGATCATTCTGGAATAACTGAGTGGGTCCTAAGCCCAATTATAAGTGTCTTTATGAGAAGAAGACATAGACGCACAGAAGAGAAGACAGTGTGAAGATGGAGACAGAGATTGGAGTGATGCGGCCACAAGTCAAGGAAGCCAAGGAATGCTGATGGTCACCAGAAGACAAGAAACAGAGAAAATGTCTTTCTGAGAGCCTCCAGAAAGAGCTGATACTTTGATTTCAGCTTTCAGGCCTGCAGAACTGTGCAAGAATCCTTTTCTCTTGCTTTAAGCCACCCAACTTGTGGTAATTTGTTCCAGAACCCCTAGGAAATACATGCGTCTCTCTGTTTAAGTTCTCCATCTCTTCATTCATGTATTATACTTTTCCCACTAAATCCTTTAACACATTAATTACAGTTATTTTGAAGTCCTTGTCTGTTAGTTTTAACATCTATGCCAAATCCTGAGTCTGTTTTTTCTCTTGACAATGGGTTGTTTTGTTCTTGCTTTTTATGTTTATCATAATTTTATTTACATGCCAGATAATGTGTATAAAAGAACATTAGACACTAGGCTAAGTAATGTTTATGCCCAGAACTAGGCATGCTTCTTTTTCTATTAGGTCATGATTCTTCAGGGAGTTGAGGCTATCTCATCCGTAGCTGAGCTGGGTCTGGATTTGCTATTGTTGTTGCTAGGTTGTGGTTAACTTCAGTGAACTCTAGGCTTCAAATTCCTCCAGTGGTGAACTACTAAGAACCTTGTTCTTAGTGTGAGGCCTGGAATACTAGAGGGATTTTCTAGACGTTTCTTCTCTTATCCTCAGCTTTTAGCAACCACTAGTGCCCTTGTCACAGAAGAGACTGCTCTCCATGTTCTCGTCCCTTCCCTAGCCTTAGCCTTCTGTTGCTTATTACTCTGTGCAAGGCTCATGCTGGGGTGGGGTTTTTTTTAAAACCTGTCCTGCTCCAGCCTCCTTTGTTTTTTTCTTTTGGCTGCCTTTTGCCCTTTAGAATTTAGTTCACCTGATCACCTTGTAATCTCAGCTCACTGTTGAACTCGAGACAGATTATTTTGTAGCATCCGTCCTTCTTAGGACAGTCTTAGGCAGAGACTGTGCTCCGGAGCCTCATATGCCAGGCTTTCTCATCACTCCTATTTCTCTCCTGTGACCAGCTAGCCATCTTTGATTCTCTTCAGTTCAGTTCACTCACGTGCACGTGGGCTCTATCTTTTAATTAATTATGAATTTACTCCTCCTGCTTGAGCAGTAGCAAGCTCTGCTTTGTATCAGTGTAGGATCTTGGGCAGAAGCAAGGTTCCTGCCATTCACCCAGAGGCAGCCAACTTTTGCCCTGGAATAGGGACATGACAATGCTACTTGATTCTGCCTTAGGACATGATGTAGTTTACTCCACATAAAAGCACGGTCCTATCTAGGATATGAGTAGGTTCTTTTAACTACCCTCAAGGCAGATGGATTTTTGCTTCCTATCAAGAAGATTCTGGGCGGTGGGCAGTGGCAGCTGCTTATCATCCCGAACTCACGCAGAGCCCAGAGTGAAACAAGATTCTATAGATCTTCTTGTTTCACTTTCAGACTGCAGCAGGCCCTGAGCACTTGTGCCACCAAGAAGGGCGTTCCAATCCTATCTGCCCCTAGGCTTCCTTGGTTTTTAATTTTTACTTGTTTATTTTTATTTCTGCTGGGTCTTTGTTGCTGCGTGTGGGCTTTCTCTAGCTGTGGTGTGAGGGCTTCTTATTGCAGCGGCTTCTCTAGTTATGGAGCACGGGCTCTAGGGAACGCAGGCTTCAGTAGTTGCAGCTCCTGGGGCTTACTTGCCCCACGGCATGTGGAATCTTCACGGACCAGGGATAGAACCTGCGTCCCCTGCATTGACAGGCGGATTCTTAACCACTGGACCATCCTAGGCTTTCTTGTAAATATCCAGCGGAGGCCTGTGGAAAGTAACAGGTGAGTGGGTGCAGACTCCCTGTGTCTGTGGCCCCTGAGGATTCTATACTTTCATGCTAGTCCACAGGCGTGCTTTAATGGCATGTTAAAATTTTAGTTGTATTCTCCTTACCCACTCCTGTGGCTGTCCCCCTTTCCTTCCACATTCACTTAGGGTGGAACATGGAGCATTCTGTGTTTCCTTTGAGTCACCTTTTGCCCTTTAGGATTTAGTTCACCTGATTACTTTGTAATCTCAGATCACTGATGAACTCAAGGCTGATTGTTTTGTAGTATCTGTCCTTCTCTAAGGCAATGTAGGTTATTTAAGAGTATAGATTATTGGAAGCAAACAGGCAAATACAGAAAACCACATTGTTTCTGGGACATATGTAGGACAGCTGACCCAGCTTCTGCAACAAGTCAATGGAATGGGAAAAATAAATAAAAGGAGAGAGTACTCAACAGTTAGAGACCTAAGAGATACAATTACACAAGGTAATTTTGCAGACCTTGTTTGTCTCTTGATTCAAACACACCAATAATAACAAGACATTTCTTAATCAAGTGGGAATATTTGAATATGGACTAGATACTAGAGGATACCATAGAATTAATGTTCATTGTGAAGAAAAGATAATAGCATTATAATTATGTCTAAAAATCAGTATTTTTTAGAAGTACATAATAAAATATACAGATGTGAAATGATGTCTTAGATTGGCATTAAAATACTCCAAAGGCTGTGAGCTAGGAGTGGGAAGCAGATACATGAAGCAAGTGTGTCCAAATCTTGATCATCTTGAAATTTAAACAGATTTAGTGTATGTAAGATGAGGAGAATGGACCATAGGCTGCAAGAGTTCAAGTAGAGAAACCACTGCCGTGGTCTTCATGAGAAATAATGGTAGCTTGGGTGGAAGACAGCAGTACACAGTAGATTCTCAATAAAGATTTTGTTAAATGAAGCCATGATAATGATATGTTTTATACACACACAAACACACAGACACAGGTTTTTACTTTTTTTTAAAAACAAATATAAAAAAGTAAAATGCATTCTTTTTGCAAACTGCATTAACTTCAAATCAAAGTTTAGTTGGAAAAGAGTTCCTGGACGCTGGGAGCTTCAAACTGCTCAGGTCATACTCTGCCCAAAGAAATGTTTCCCTCTAAGCCTGTCTGATGACCTGGAATTCAAATATTATGGGTACTTGGACTTAAAAATAGAGTATAGACTATCAACGTTTCCTGTTTCGGTGATAGTGAACTTTTTGGTAGCTTCTCCATCCTAGGTGGAAGCAGAACTACATTTATTGATTTAACAAGTACTCATTCATACCAACAGATGGATATCCAAAAGACTAACTGATGTCTCAAACTTCACATATATGTAATGGAAGTTTTGAGTTTCTCCAACTTCTTCCTGTCCTACCCTATACCCATCGCAGTAAATGGTACCACTGTCCAGCTAGCTGGTCAAGCCAAAAACCCAAGAGTTATCCTTATTTTCTCTCTTTCACTTCACACACCCAATCCAACAATAACCACTATGATTCCAAAACAGATATAAAATGTACTCTCTATTCTATTATTGTCACTATTGTTATCTAGGCTGTCATTGTCATTTATCTGGACTTCTATGAAAACCAGCAAACTAGTAGACTATATTATCCACCCAGCAGCCAGAGTCAAAACCTAAGTCAAATTATACTCTAAAAACATATGTTCAATTTGTTATTATTGTTGTTCATCCACTCAGTCATGTTTGACTCTGTGATCCCATGGATTGCAGTAAGCCAGGCTTCCCTGTCCTTCACTATCTCCTGGAGTTAGCTCAAACTCATGTCCATTGAGTCAGTGATGCTATCCAACCATCTCATCCTCTGTCACCTCCTTCTTCTGCCCTCAATCTTTCCCAGCACCAGGGTCTTTTCCAATGAGTTGGCTCTCTACATCAAGTGGCCAAGGCATTGAAGCTTCAGCTTCAACATTAGTCCATCCAATGAATACTTGCGTAGTTTCCTTTAGGATTGACTGGTTTGATCAATCAAACCAGTTCCTTGCAGTCCAAGGAACTCTCAAGAGTCTTCTCCATCATCACAGTTTGAAAGCGTCAAATTCTTAGGTGCTCAGTCTTCTTTATGGTCCTGTTCTCACATCCATACATGACCACTGGGAAAACCATATCTTTGAATAGATGGATATTTGTCAGCAAAGTAAGGTCTCTGCTTTTTAATACACTGTCTAGGTTTGTCATAGCTTTTCTTCCAAGGAGCAAGCGTCTTTTCATTTCACAGCTGCAGTCACTATCTGCAGTGATTTTTAAGCCCAAGGAAATAAAGTCTGTCACTGCTTGCATTGTTTCTCTATATATTTGCCATGAAGTAATGGGACCAGATGCTATGATCTTAGTTTTTTGAATGCTGAGTTTTAAGCCAGATTTTTTCACTCTCCTCTTTTACCTTCATCAAGAGGCTCTTTAATTCCTCTTCACTTTTGCCATAAGGGTGGTGTCATCTGCTTATCTGAGGTTATTGATATTTCTCCCAGAAGTCTTGATTCCAGTTTGTGTTTCATCTAGCCCGGCATTTTACATGATATACTCTGCATATAAATTAAATAAGCAGGGTGACAAAAAACAGCCTTGACATGCTCCTTTTCCAATTTGGAACCAGACTGTTGTTCCATGTCTGGTTCTAGCTGTTGCTTCTTGACCTGCATACAGATTTCCCAAGAGGCAGGCCAGGTGGTCTGCTAGTCTCTTCTCTTTAAGAATTTTCCACAGTTTGTTGTGATTGCACAGGCAAAGACTTTAGCATAGTCAATAAAGCAGAAGTAGATGTTTTTCTGGAATTATCTTGCTTTGACAATGATCATGAACAGGGAGTTGACTGATTTGGAGCATGTCAAATCCCTGCTCATGAATATTCAATATCTTCCCATTGGCCTTAAAATAAAATTCTAACTCCTCCCCATGTCATGGAAGGCCCTGCATGATCCAGCTTTGACCACTTCTGCAACCTCATTTTGAGCCACTTTCTTCCTCACTCGGTCTATCTGGCTACATTGACATCTTTCTTTTTCTTGAATGCACCAACTTCTCTTTCCACATAATCTTTGTCTTTGCCATTCCCTCTGCCTAGAAGCTCTATCTTAGAACTTTGCAGTGCTAGCTTCTTCTTATCCTTCATGTCTCAGTTCGAATGATGCCTCTTTAGATATGTCTTCCATGACCCCCACATCCAAGACAGCCTCATCTTCTCAAGACTTCAAGCCCTATTATTTTCTTTCTCAGCAACCAGTTTGTTTCCTTTATAGCACTCATTATGTAAACATTTGTCTATTTGGTTTTTGTTTCTCTCCCTTACTAGAATGTGAACTTCTTGAGGGTTAATTTAGTTCTGCAACCCCAGTGTCAAAAACA